AAAAAAAAAAAAAAAAAGAAGGCAATAATCATATAAAATGGCACTTGATACCCTTAGCCATCAGGAAAATATAAATTACCCCACAAGGAGATACTACTACAGTCACCAGAATGGATAACAAGACAGCTAAATATGGCCAAGGATGTGGAACACTGCTTTTGGGAATGTGAATTTCCAGTAACTCTGGAAAACTAGCAGTATCTAGCAAAGCTGAAGCTACATAGTTTTTGATCCTGGAATTCCAATCTTAGTATACACTCTACAGAAACACATAAATACGCTCACCAAGAAACACATACAAAAATATCTATAGCACCCCTATCGTAACAGTCTGAACTCAGAAATAACTCCAATGTAGTATATTCATACAATGAAATACCATACCGCAATAAAAAAATGAACATTGCTACATACAAGATTGATCAATCCCATAAACATTAACTGAGGAAAGAGACCAGACACAACAATGTAAGTACTATTTTATTCTATTAAATAAAAGTTCAAAAATAAGCAAAATTTATCAATGGTGTTTAAAGTCAGGATAGTGATTACCTGAGTGTTTATGTGATGCTGTTGAACGATGGGCAGAGAAATGGTAAGAAAAGGTTTGGGGAAGGTTTCTGGCTGCATGGGTGTGTTCATTTTGTGAACATACTATACTTCAGTACAAATTTACTATAAAAAATCAGGCCAAGCATGGTACCTCACCTATAATCCCAGCACTCTGGGAGGTCAAGGCAGAGGGGTTGCTTAAGCTAGTTTAAGACCAGCCTGGGCAAAGACAGCAAGACCCCATCTCTATGAAGAAATATAAAATAAACACTTTGCCACAAGTGATGAAACATGCCTATAATCCTAGCTACATGGGACTGAGGTAGAGGATGACTTTCAGATCACCAGAAATTCAAGGTTACATGAGCTATAATCATGCCATTGCACTCTAGCCTGGGCAACAAAGCAAGACTCTATCTTTAGAAAGAAAAAATCAATACCTAGAGGTGTATCACAAATTAGGTTAAGGAACAGAGCTTTTACTAAGAGATGCAAGGCATCAGAAATAGAATTGAACTAGAAAAAGCATGCTCATTTTTCTTCTCCAACTCTCTTTTTTTGGGTCCCAGATTCATTAACCCAAAGCCTAAAGACAAACCCAAGGTTACCAGTCTGTAGACAACTTCTTTAATATGCTACCCTCTTAAAAAATCAATTAAAGGCCAGGTGTTGTGAATCACACTTGTAATCCTTGCATTCTGGGAGGCCAAATTCAGGAGTTTGAGACCAGCCTGATCAAGAGCAAGACCCTATCTCCACTAAAATCAGAAAAAATTGCTGGGCATTGTGGTAGGCACCTATAGTCCCAGATAATGGGGAGGCTGAGGCAGGAGGACTGCTAGAACCCAGGAGTTTAAGATTGCTATGAGCTAGGCTAATGCCATGGCACTCTAGCCTGGGGCAACACAGTGAGACTCTTATCTCAAGAAAACGAAGAAAAAAAAAAAAAAGGAATCAAAGTAAAAATTCAGTAAGAATTCTAAATGGGGAAAACATAAAATGAGCAGTTCAGGGAAGCTTTTCAACTAAATACTCTTTCTCACTCATAGGAATGATAAAATCTGAGGGATCCTGTAATAAAAGAAATATGGTCCTTACACAGTTTACTGCAAGTAAAAAGCTAAAGAAGCAAAAGTAGCTACCATGTGTAGGTGAAAGGGGTAGCAGATTACATACAGACATGGGGCCAGAGCTATAAATGGTATCAAGGAGGATGCATCTGCCTAGACTATTTCCTAAAAAGCCTGAAAAAGCGGTGGCAACCATGGTAGGTGGCTTTTTACGGACTTGAGATCTAAACCTAGGCACACACTGCCATTATTAAGAAGTCCAGGGGCTGGGTGCAGTGGCTCATACCTGTAATCCTAGCACTATGAGAGGCCAAAGTAGGTAGATTTCCTGAGCTACAGATTTGAGACCAGCCTGAGCAAGAGCAAGATCCAGTGTCTAAAAAACATAGCCGGGCATTGTAGCAGGTGCCTGTAATTCCTACTAGGGAGGCTAAAGCAAGAGAACCTCTTGAGCCTAAGAGTTTGAGGTTGCTATGAGCTATGTGACACCAGAGCACTCTACTGAGGGCGAAAAAATGAGTGAGACTCTATCTCAAAAAAAGAAAAAAAGAAGAAGAAGTCCAACAGCTCATTTTATTTAATAACAGTTTTCATGTTGTACATGTTACATAGCTGAGATGAATATCTTGTCACTTACTACAAAAATAATGATTTCTAATCTTTATTTGAAAAGCATATAATGTGACCCATCAATATAAGTATTGTCACATTTAAAAAATTACTGTAATAAATTTGCACAATATGACTGCAAGAAAATTTTGTGATACTGTAGAAACAACTAGGATTGGAAGTCAAGAGGCCTCGCATAAAACCTGGCATACAGTAGACCTCTTATAAATGACAGATGAATGATCTAGTGCTGAGAGACACTGAGCATGCTGCTTCTTCTTTCATTGTATGTTTCTTCATTGCTAAAATAAGATTGTAATAAGAAATAAATTATTACATATAAAATGCTTAGAACAGTCTTTGACACACTGAGTACTCAATAAATAGTAGACTCTATAACTAGATGCCAGTCCTGATTCTGCCACTAAAATCACATATAATCTCACACAAGTAACTAATCATTCTGGAATTCTATAAAGTGACAGGACTAGTAATGGTTGCTCTATAGCTTTCTCTTCACTCTAAAAAATATTTAAATTTCAATTCTCAACCATGTTATATTTCCCCTCACACATACATTAAAACTTAAAATACTGCCTTATTTTCTAGACTATGGTATGCTATAGAATGTACACTACACACATTGTTGGGGGGAAAGGGACAGGTATTTGCGGATGTGATTAAACATCCAAACTGTATTTAAAGTAGAGACTGTAACTTGAATACCTATTCCAAAAAAAAAAAAAAAAAAAAACCCACAGAACAAGGGAAAAGAGCCCTGTATGAGGATTAAGATTTTGTTCTACTCCTGGCACTGCTGTAAACCTTAAAACAATAAGGTACGGCTATGTCTGTTTACTTATTTTAAACCTTCTGGCTGTGGCTCCTTTGGTGCCAACCACACCTGTAGGGAGCTTTAGTTTCTGAGCTACACCCTCACCCCCAAATGATCAAAGGGTTAAGTTTGGAAAGGTTGGGATAAATGATCAATAAGATCCATTTATGACTTTTCTTTTCCTTCCTTCTAAACTAAAATGTTGTCAAATATTCCTATTTCTAGAAAAAAAATCTGTACCACCAATAAATATGAGAATTGACTGATCTCCTACCCTAAACAGTACCTTTTATATTTTATTTTTTGAGAGAGAGTCTCACTATGTGGCCCTCGATAGAGTGCAGTGGCATCACAGCTCACAACAACCTCCAACTCTTGGGCTTAAGCAATTCTCTTGCCTTAGTCTCCCAAGTAGCTGGGACGACAGGGGCCCACCACAATGCCCAGCTATTTTTTTGTTGTATTTGTCATTATTATTTAGCAGGCCCAGGCTGGGTTCAAACTCACCAGCCCCAGTGTATGTAGCCAGCGCCCTAACCACTGAACTATGGACACCAAGCCCCCTAAATCGTTCCTAATCTGAGTGGATGTGACAAAGGCAGGGACTGCTTGTCTTTTTTCTCCATAGAGTCTCATTCTATTGCCCAGGCTAGAGAGCCATGACCTTAGGCTAGCTCATAGCAACCTCAAACTCCTGGGTTCTAGCTATTCTCCTGCCTCAGTCTCCCAAGTAGCTGAATTATAGGTGCCAGCAATGCTGAACTGACTTTTCTGTTTTTAGTAGAGATTGCTCTTGCTCAGGCGAGTCTCAAACTCCTAAGCTCAAGCGATCCTCTCCCCCTCTGCCTCCCAGAGTGCTAAGATTACAGTCATGATCCACCATGACTGGCCTGCAGAGGTCTTTTAGGCCGGCCCATGTTCACTTTCAAGAACCAGTGGACTTAATTCTGTCTCTGTTTTCTAGAATACCATCTATTCTACACTGTAGAGATGGGTAGGAAATGGAAATAAGTTCATTATGTGTGCTTTTATCACATAATTACACAATAACTAATGATTCCTTTGTTTCACAATATATTTAATAGCCAACATTTATTCAGTTACTCCTATGTGATGGACTCAGTGTTAAGTACTCTTCAGGCGTTACAAAGCTAGAAGGCAATTTTAGATGATTTTCAGGAAAGAAAACTATTGTAAGGACTGGAAAATATAGGACTAAATTCATTTCATTATGTTCAAGATAAATCTCTGCCAAAAAGGACAAAAGAACCATAATCATTTCATTATCTTTAAGAAAAAAGTTAAGTAGATACTGAAATTTAAACTCTGATGTTCACATCAATAATTTGCTCTTAAATACTTCCAAATGGTTTAATTATATGCTCTTACCTTTTTATTTCAAACCTACAACAGAATTAGAAAAAAAGAACAGAAATTTGTCCAAAACATACAATTAAAAATATTTTGAAAAATAAAACTAAAAACCTCTTACCTGAGCATGAAAATTAGACATAGTTGTTGTCTCTATATCTTTCTTTCCCAATATCTCCATTTTCACTGGCGAATTGGGAAAATTAAATGAAAAGTAGTCTAAAAAGTCAGGTAAATAAGTAGCTGCCCCATGAACAATACCCATTACATAGAAAGCTGCAGAGTTTTCATTTTCACTGAATACTAGACTCACAAACTCTTCTGCAAACCTCTCCATCTCCACAGGAGACAGGTGGGAGAGTTCATTACTGTAGGCATGGATAACTGATGCACCTCCATTGGGCTGGTGCTCAATATGAATGAGTTGTTTGAATTCCAAAGTGTCCAACCTTCTCAGGTTATTCTGAAGTCGTGGCTCCTTTAATGAGACAAATGGAAATTCACTATTCTCTGGAATTTTGGGATCATAGTTCTTAGTATCCAAATTCCTTCCAATGTAATCCTTGATGCTATCACTTAGAATTCCTTTGGCTTCTTGATCTTCAATATCAGATAACAATCCTGAGCAGATGGTCTGAATAGATTTGCTATACATTTTTGGACGCTTCCGTTTTTCATTCTCTTTGTGTTTCTTTTTCTTTTTCTTCTTTACCTTTTTAACTTGTAAGTCTTCTACATTTGTTTTTGGTTTCTCCTTCCCACCTGTTGGGAAAAATTTTTTTTGAAATTCTATATTTCAATTACTTCAAAAACCACGCTTTAGGAACTGTTTTGTAATAAATAAGAAGTTTGCTTCTGACGCTGCCAAAAACTTACCCAGAATTAATTTTATATTTGGGACTTATTTTACACAGTACTGATAATGAAAATTTAGTCAGTCTCTCTCACTCACTGTACACACACACATACAGATGAAGACTTAGGACCAAGTTATACCTATGGTGTGTGCTAACATTTTGACATGCAGCAGATGCTTCATCAATGTTTACTAAAGAGATGGATATTTTAGAAAGCATAATCTTCAAATTTTAAAAGCAGTAATTCAGAAACGGAAAGTTGAAGAAAGGTCAATATGAACAATGCTCTCTAGTTGTTTCTTTCATTGATATCACTTTTACTTTCTCTGAGGTCTTAAAAATTGCATCTAAGTAGCAACGAGACTTAAAAATTATAAAGGAAGAAAAATAATTGTATAGTATAATAGCAATAAACACAGTAACTCCTTAACATTTTACCACATTTCCCTGTAGTGAATTAACTCTTATATTTAAAATGGTCTATTTTAGGTCCACCACAGTTAACAAAATTTATCAGTGAAGATCTAACATGGTACCACAAAGGAGATGACAAAATTAGAAGGATCCCTCATAGTTAGCTCAAGTAATACCCATGGTGGTAAAGAGATAAATAAAAAGACATGAGGCACTATATGTTTGTATATTAAAGATCTTGTATGAATAAAGGTAAGTAGACTGTGGGCTCAGAAATTTAGAAATCCACAAAGTAAAAGATTAAGCCACAGAAGCTGTACAGCTATAAAATCAATATAAGCACTTAACTTAATCACAGTTATATTCATTTCTACATAAGAAAATTAGAAAAAAGTAAACATCCTCACAAGAAAGGTAATATTAAAAAGTCACTGTGCTAAGGGTTAAGAAGGCATATTTCAGTTTCACAGATAACCTGCCATAAATGAAATTCTCCCAACCATCCTGACCAGTTTCTTCTCTTTATTTTTTTCTTTTTCTTCTCTTTTTTTTTTTAGATAGGGTCTTGCTATATTGCCAGGGCTACAGAGTACAGTGCAGTGGTATACTATGGCTCACTACAACCTCAAACTGCTGGGCTCAAGAAATCCTCCTGCATCAGCCTCTCAAGTAGCTAGAACTACAGGTACCCCCACATCCAGCCGAATTTTTTATTATTCTCTGGCCACTGCAATCCTCCAGCCTCTGCCTCCCAAAATGCTAGGATTATAAGCATGCACCACTGCACCCAGCCCCAACTGGCTGCTTTACTTGAATCTTTCCATCTTCAAGTTGTCTTTTATTCCTTTCTATTTTCAATGAGGGAGATGTTCTATTTACAAAATTAAATCCCTCCTACCAACTCTAAAAACCCTTGAATAGTCTTCTCTTGACCTCTAAACTTCTCATAAAGAATCATCTATTTCCAGTGTCTTTTTTTCATTACCTTACCATTCTTACCACTTAAATTGTGGTTCTTTCTTCAGTCTATTCAAATATGCTTTCCCAGAATGCTGAAATATCAAATCCAATGCTATTTTCTCAAATCATTCTTCCTGATCTCGCCAAGATTTGAGAGAATAATCCACAATCCTTAATTGTTTTTGACTTCCTTGGTAAAACTGCCTTAATTTTTGGCTGAACTTCTGTATAACTATCCCTCATCCTGAATGCTTAAGTCGTATTAACCTGTCTATAATGTTTATATACTGTTCTGATTACGCCTTAGCTAAATTGCTTTCAGGAGCTGTCAATTCCTACCTATAAACTATAATCTCTTCGGTATGGAATCTAAAAACAGTGCCCTCAAGTATCTTGTGCTCTGGCCAAATCACACTACTTACTATGCTCACTTTGGCAGCACATACACTAAAGTTGGAACTATACAGAGAAGATTAGCATGGCCCCTGTACATGGATGACACATGAAGCACTGCATATTTTAAAAAGCAAAACAGAAACAAATTATACTACTTACTTTACAATTTCATATAAAAAATACATAGTCCTACCTTATCTTCTTACTACTGGCAAATGCATTTTCTCTCTCCAGAACCCCTTTGCTTCCTCAGAACTCTTTCCTACTCATCCTTTAGCAACTCTTGGGTCACTGCTTTCAATGTTTGCCCTCAAAATCACTCACTCATAACTCATAAAAAATTGTTTCATTCACAGGATACCTATATAATAACCATTATGTCCTTCAGAACACTGTATGAGTGAAACGAATAACTTTTTATATTAATTCAGAGTGAAATGATACTTCTTTTTCTATCATTGTATCCCTCACAGGACCTCGTATACATAACACTTAATGAAACTATGATGAAAAGATCTGTCTTACTAGCAGACAACCCTGAAGTTTACAGTTTTTCCCTTGCCTCTCCTTTCAGTCAAGTTTCTCCACATACAGATACCACTAAATCCTATCCCTGCAAACGACAAACATTATCTCAAGGTGACAGCAAATCTATAAAAGTGAAGTTTTAATGTTCCTAAACTGTTAATCCCAAAAATGTATATAAGTTAATAATTCCTAAATGTGCAATGAAAACCAAATTAGTATCATCATGAAAAGCAAAACTAGAAATCTATCAACGTTATTAATTACACAGGTTTGTAAAGTCATACAAGACAAAGTATTCTCTAAAGCAGCGGTCCTCAAGCTATGGGTCGTGACCCCTTTGTAACAACGAAAATACATCACAGCATTAGTTGAAAACCACTGCTCTAAACAGTCGATATGGAAGTAGTTAAAAATATATATCTGAGGGTGGCGCCTGTAGCACAGTGGTTATGGCACTGGCCACCTACACTGGGGCTGGCAGGTTCGAACCTGGCCTGGGCCTGCTAAAACAAGACAGCTACTTGGGAGGCTGAGGCAAGAGAATCACTTGATCCCAGGAGTTTGAGGTTGCTGTGAGCTATGATACCATGACACTCTACCAAGGGTGACAAAGTGAGACTCTGTCACAAAAAATAAAGGGCACATTCATTCCTAAACCCTATAACTGAACATACATGTAAAACTATGGAAATTAAATTGTTTACCAAAATAAAATTTCATTTGAATGAAAACATATGTTTAATATCCCACTACTTCTACTACACTTATTCCTAACACACATGAAAAAGTCAAAATAGAAAATATCACATTACTCTGAAATAAAATAGGCGTAACATTTAGTCTGCATAACACTTAGTCTATTTCCTAGACTGAGAATGAACCAAAAACAATTATAGTAGTCAAAAACTGAAAAATGCAAACTACTGAGAAATCAGTTAAGAGATTCTCATATTAAGCATCAGGGAGTTAAAGACCCATGGGCAAACTACTCTGTAAGTAAACATTAAAGTGAGCATAGTGTGTGGAGTAGATAACATACTTGAGATTGCTATCCTTAGAAAGTCTTGTTTGCAAAGTTGGCCCTTAGCTGCCATTTGGGAACTTGTATTTGGGGGGTAGTTCCCATGCTTCCCTGATTAAGAGTGGTTCAAAGTACCTTAATAGTTTGTGCAAACAATATGGTTTATGCTGAACACTTCTTGAAGTCTGGAATTATGGTCTGTGCTAGGCAGACAATGCCTATATGACCAATGCCCAGTAAAAACTCTAGGCAGAGGGCGGCGTCTGTGGCTCAGTGAGTAGGGTGCTGGCCCCATATACTGAGGGTAACGGGTTCAAACCAGGCCCTGGCCAAACTGCAACAAAAAATAACCAGGTGTTGTGGCGGGCACCTGTAGTCCCAGCTACTCAGGAACCTGAAACGGGAACCTGAGACACTTAAGCCCAGGAGTTGGAGGTTGCTGTGAGCTGTGACACCACAGCACTCTACCAAGGGTGATAGAGTGAGACTCCATCTCTAAAAAAAATAAAATAAAATAAAAAATGCATCACACTATAAAAAAAAAAAAGCTCTAGGCAGAAAAAACTCTAGGTACTGAGTCTCCAATGAGCATCTTAGTAAACTTTCATGTGTTATCACAATTCACCCCTGCTCAAGAATTTATTTTATTTATTATTTATTTATTTATTTAGAGAGAGACAGTGTCTCACTTGGTCACCCTCGGTAGAATACCATGGTGTCTTAGCTCACAGCAACCTCAAACTCTTGGGCTCAAGCAGTCCTCTTGCTTCAGCCTCCCAAATAGCTAGGACTACAGGCACTTGCCACAACATCTGGCTATTTTTTAGAGATAGGGTACTGCTCTAGCTCAGGCTGGTCTCAGAATCGTAAGCTGAGGCAATCTACCCGCCTTGGCCTCCCAGAGTTGCTAGGATTACATGCGTGAACCACCACAAGCAGCTCCTGCAAGGATTTAATGTATCCTTGTATGACACCACTGGAAGACTCCTCCTAGAAACTTATGTCAGGACATTGCCCCATGTGCTTTTACTCTTTGCTGGTTTTACATTTTATCCTTTCACTAAAATAAATCCTAGCCTGAGTACAATTGCTGAGTCTGGTGAGTCCTTATCCTAGCCGACTGCAGAACCTGAGGGTAGTCATAAGAATCCCCATTCTTTACATTAAGAAAGATTATACATTAAAAAATACATTAAAAAATGCATTCTTTATATTAAGTCAAACTGATGTCAAGAGGTTTATATAATCTCTAACTCATCTCCTGTCTCTACATATGAAATGCAGTAGATGTATATATAGAAATGTTTTAAATACTTTAAGGAAGTAAGACTATTTTGAGTATCAATTTTCTTCTCTTATACTAAACAGTATTTAAAGTAAATATTAAATACCAAAACCTCATAAAGGATCCTGGTAAGTGTGCACAGAATTACTATCTAAGTTATCTAGACCATTAAGAAATGTAAGATTTGGCTCGGCACCTGTGGCTCAAGCGGCTAAGGCACCAGTCACATACACCTAAGGTGGCGGGTTCAAATCTAGCCCGGTCCCGCCAAACAACAATGATGACTGCAACCAAAAAATAGCCGGGCGTTGTGCCAGGTGCCTGTGGTCCCAGCTACTTGGGAGGCTCAAGCAGTAGACTTGCTTGAGCCCAGGCGTTGGAGGTTGCTGTGAGCTGCGATGCCACAGTACTCTACCCAGGGGGATAGCTTGAGGCTCTGTCTCAAAAAAGACATGTAAGATTACATATATTAAATAAAAGGTGTTTACAGGGGGACCCTTCCTCCTCTGAGCCACAGATACATGCACACAGTGGATTACAAACATATGTAGTGGGCAACGCACACAAAATGCTACAGATACACACATGCGCCCAGAGTCAGAGTCAGAGCCATAGAGAGAAAACACAAGGCTGGGAGTGAGAGAATCAGAAACAGAAAGAGATGCAGACATACATATAACCAAAAAGAGAAAGACATAGAGACAAAAAGAACCACATATAGGAATAGATACAATGACAGCATGTGTTGTCAGGGGCAATTTTATATATATTTTTAAAAGCTTTTAAAATCACAAGTCCACTAGTATTAATTTCTACCACTAACTTTAGTAAACATTTTGTGTTAATAAGATGAAATAAAGGTTACTCAGAAAAACTGAATCTGATTTCATAACTGATACGGGAATTAATATACAGGACTCAGGCTTGGCGCCTATGACCGTAGTGGCTAAGGCGCCAGCCACATATATCTAAGGTGGTGGGTTCGAATCCAGCCCTGGCCGCCAAATAACAATGATGGCTGCAACCAAAAAATAGCTGGGCGTTGTAGTGGGCACCTGTGGTCCCAGCCACTTGGGAGGCAGAGGCAGAAGATGCCCAGGAGTTGGAGGTTGCTATGAGCTGTGATGCCACAGCACTCTACCCAGGGGGATAGCTTGAGGCTCTCTCAAAAAAAAAAAAAGTATATAGAACTCCATTATCATTCATAGAAAAAAGATAGCAATTGGCTTAGCTATTTTCATCCTTCGATCTTTAGGAACGACTTTGTTTTTTTCATACTGCAATGTTGTCACAGTGCCTGCCATAATTTACCTACCTGTGACCTTTAGTTACATTACCAATAACCTTGGACACTGGCTTCTTTTAACCCCATTCCATCCACCTGCTCACCAGCAAATTTCTTTAATATGTTATAATGATAACACTCAAAAATACTATAATCACAACATGTTTGTTCTTATAACTTATCATTAATAAGCAAAATAAAAATGGATGGAACATACACACATGCTCAGGAAAAACAGATAGCAAATTTAGTGTAAGGATTAGACCCAATAAATACGCTTATATTTCAAACTTTAAATTATTTCTAAAAGCACAAACAATAGAATTTTATCAATGACAAGATTCTTACATTAATAAAACACTTTTTAGCATGTATATAATAGCGTGTGTAGCTCCAGTCATACAAAAACCTGACCCAATTTTTAAGAAAAACATGACAGAGGGGCGGCGCCTGTGGCTCAAAGGAGTAGGGTGCCAGCCCCATATGCCGGAAGTGGTGGACTCAAACCCAGCCCTGGCCAAAAACTGCAAAAAAAAAAAAAAAAAAAAACAGAAATAAAACTGATGAGGAATAGCATTAACATCTATTTTAAAGAGTTCCAAAGGCTATCACCAAACGATCAATGCCTGTGGATGCAAGGTTACAATTATCAGAAGAAAAAGTTATAAAGAAAGACTAAAAGTTGGATGCCATAAAGGAAAAAAGGACACACAGTAGTAAATCACTCCATCAAATTGAATCTGGTATTGTTCCAAGACATCGACAACAAAGGAAGCCTTTCCCTGACCAGAGGCTCACTTAGAAATGCTGAGCAAATTGTTTCGGCTGGATAGTAGTAATAGCTAACACATTGCCTTCCATGGGACAGTTTTCCAAATGAATCATGTTTTTATTCACTTAATTATTTATATAACACATGCTGAAGAGAAGAGTTAGTTTGGTTTTATTGCTATTTGATAACAAAAGTTAATTAATCTTTCATACATGTTTACAAAAAAAGATTCATATCCACTTACTGATTATCTATGAGCCAGATATCATACTTGGCATTTATCATAGATTTGCCTGCATAGAATCTTCACAACACTGTGTGGCAATAATAAAATTATTACTTTAACCGTAAATACATTTTCCCTAAATTTTTCCATGGTCATTCAAGAAGTCACAAATTCATTTACAAATCTATCTCTCATTGTTTCTCCTATCATCACTAGTTTCAGTTTAACTCAGTTCAAAATATCTCCTAAGAGCAGCGCACGTGGCTCAAAGGAGCAGAACTCCGGCCCCAGATGCCAGAGGTGGCGGGTTCAAACCCAACATTGGCCAAAAAAAAAAAAAAACCTACAAAATGGTATCTGAAGTATCACTGTGTTTATAAAAAAAAATAAATAAATAACCTAAATTGGTGTCTACTTTGAAGTCAAGGTTAATATTGTTTATTCATAGAAAAATCTCCATGTTAAGCCTCTTTTAAATTATTTGCATATATAATCTCTACATCACAAAATTCATGCTGTTAGGAATCTAGTATTCAATAGAGAACACATGAGGTTTTTTAAGTATTTCTAAGAAATAGATTATTTTTCAAGTGAGAAATTTATAACATTGTACATTCAAATAGATTATAATGATTTAACTGAATCAGAAAAAAAAGGACTTTTGACTCAACTAAGTCAACACAATCATTAATTATTACCTGCTGTATAGAACTGGTGTGGTTAGATTCAATTCTTGTCTCAAAGGCTTACAATTTAATTAGACAACACAAATAAAACATGCTGGGGAAGGAGAAGAACAAAAGGATCACGAACATTAACTGAGATACCATCAACTTAAGCTCCAAAATGTTTCTTAAAGCTTGAAGGAATATTATAGAAAACAGAGTTCTGACATATAGAAAACAGATAAAATGCCACCAAAGAACATCTGGAAACATGCAAGAATGAAATGAAGTTTAAATCAAGTTTAAAGTTTAATACTTTCTATCTTAAATAACATAAATTAACCTGTTAGTCTACTGCACGTGCGGTCCTGTAACCTTTTCTCTCTTATGCAGATATAATGGCCATCAAAAATAAACTAAATATAAAATTAATCAAGGTCAATGTATTCTGATCAGCAACTGTCAACTTCATAGGGCAGGTAATGAATTTGCTAGTTATCTAGAAACCACATACTATTGATTCATCTTACTCTGCTGAGTGAATTTAAAACTGTCTTTACTCCTATTCTACCACAAATTCTCTTAAAAAGTTCAAGTTTATTAATAGGATTTGTATTATATTCATCATCTAACCACCTACCCCCAAAATTCTCTCTTCCCTATCTCCATGCATAAAATAGCAATTGAATGCCATAGGAAAAAAGAAAGGAAACAAGACAAGAAGATATTCTTAAACACGCAAGAAACATTTCTCTTCTGATTTAGCTTACAGTAAAATGTTTCCTCTAAATCCTTGACTGAGCTCAGGTATTCAATCAAATATTTGTAAGATCACTTCCTTCACCATACCTAGCATGCTAAAAATTGCTTCAGTTATTTTTAATTTCTTCCTTTTGTTTTAGATTATCTAGATAATTTATCTTAAAATAATTTACGAAATCTAATAGCTTAATGAAGTTTAGCTTTCATAACTTCTTAATGACTCACTGAATATACTAAAGATGTTACTATACAGATTAGAACTCTCCACTATTACATATACTTTTTATTTCCTCATCATTAATATATTCTCTACAAAATTCAACACCAAGTACCGTTTGTGTGTGTGTATGAGATAAGAGTCTTACTTTGTCACCCTTCGTGGAGTGTCATGCATCACAGCAACTTCAAACTCTTGGGCTCAAGAAATCCTCTTGCCTCAACCTCCCAAAGTAGCTGGAACTAAAGGTGCCTGCCACAACACCTTCTCTTTTTAGAGAAGAGATCTTACTCTTGCTCTGACTGATCTTTAACACCTGAGCTCAGGCAATCCACCTGCCTTGGCCTCCTAGAGTGCTGGAATTACAGGCATGAACCACTGCCACCTGGCCGCCAAGTAACATTTCTTATTTTATTCACTTAGCCAGTAAGTATGCTAAGCAGTATAATTTAAAAAAAAAACAAAAACCTAAAATTCCTAAATAAAACTTACTTTTCAGCAAAATCTTTACTTCTCCATTCTCTTTCTTGATCTCATTCATTACTTTATGTTTCTTTTTCGCTCTCTCTTTTTCTTTGTCTCTCTCTTTAATTTTGTCTTTGATTTTATCTGAAAGACAAAATAAAGAAAATATTTAAAACCATTACAATTTTATTTTTCTCCATAAACTATAGCTTAACGTCTAGAACTACAATATACAAAGGAAATGAGAAACATATATGCCCTTTTTCCTTCTTCTCAGGTTCTAGGAAATATTTCTAAATTTTGTTTTTCATTTAATATGAAATACATGTCAAAATTTATCATTATGCGTTTCATTCTAATGATTATTCTTCACTTCAAATCACTTAAAATAATTGGCTAACTTTAATTGCAGAGAGAAGGCTACCATTTCAAAAAGTGCTAGCTTTGAAATTGGATATATCTGAATTAGTAACATAACATCAAAAAAATTACTCCACCTCAGTTTCCTCTTCTGTAAAATGGTAGTTGATACCTTCCTCATAAAGTTACTATAAAAATTAAATTTAAAAAGGATATAAAATCACTATGCAAACCCTGGCATATGTAAGACTACATGTTAACTCCCTCACCTTTGCACATTTTAAAAAGAATATAACTAATATGATTAGTGGTGATACTGTCATTATTAAAATAAAGGGCATAACACTATAGGAATTGCTGCTTACTTACATTTTAAAAATTCAAACTTTGCACTTATATACTTAATACCTTACTATTTGTTTGTTCAATCAACTTCTTATGTGCTCAGCAAAAGACAAAATATAAAGGACAATGTAAATTCTTGCCCTCAAAAAGCTTATTATTCATTCATTACAAAGCCATGATGGAAGCACACAAAAACTACAAAATATCCTCTACATATAACACTGTATATGAACACTGCATAATCTCTTAAGGACCCCTCCCGATTTCTTTTCTATAAATACTAATCCAATCCTAATCACCTAAAGGTTAAATTACTGTCTACATCAGCACTGCCCAATAGAAGCTAGCCACATATGTAAATTTATATTTCCTCATAGCCACATTAAAAACATTTTTAAAAGGTGAAATTAATTTTAACAGTGTATCTTATTTAACTCAATATATCCAAAATATCATCATTTTAACATGGAACTGAAATTAAAAAGTATTACTGCAGTATTTTGTGTTTAATAACAAGATTTTTAAAAATTCAAAACC